GCAGGGTTAATATCAATAATGTTAAAATAAAACAAAATCAACCCTGAAAAAGAAAGACAAAAAAGCAACGCAATAATATCCCACCTTGCCTTCAAATTGACCGTTACGTCACATTTCTAGAGTAAATTTCAGTTCAGTGAATTTCATTACGTCCGATATTACGTCACTCAGCAACCTCACCTATGCCATAGTTAAAGGACCTGAAATTTTTTTTGTCTTAAAATGTATTTAAAATAAATAACACATAAAAATTAACAATAAAAAAGAAAATACATTATTTATTTTTTTAATCATTTCACGCAAGCAAAGCAATAAGACGCATGTGTATTACTGAATATGAGAGAATATGAAAAAGAAATTATTAAGAAAGGGAGAGAACAATAAACGAACAAGAAATAAGAAGACAGAAGATAACAGTTAACACTACATTTGAATTTTTGAAGATCAAAGTTGACTGGAAAGCAAGAAGCCAGAAGAAAATTTTCACATGCGAGAAGTACAAGAGAAGAAACTGTTAGCCTAGAACTTACGGTTATATCTTAGATCACTTCAGCTTTTAAAATGATGAGACCTTGCCATCACTTCGGTGCTGCGTTTAAATTCATAATGTCTAGGTAACATAGTAGAAAGTAATATTTATTTTGAATAATACAAAAATCTGGCACAAGGCCAAAAGTTTGAGATAAGGGAAGGCCGGTTTTTAATCTGTCTTATCTTAGCTAACTACGATTACTAACCCAAACATAGCACAGTATTTCTCACACCAAAGCAACACATTCTTACCATTCTCACTACAGTCACCATAATACCCTATAGTCCCTATGTAGTCCTAACTAGTCCCCATATGTGTAATTTGTTGGTGTGTTAGCATATGGGGTGGGGGATAAAAATAACAATATAATGGAAAGTTCATTAGAAGAATTACCATGAAAATATTTATAGAAAAGGCAGATAGAAAGTGACTGAAGCCGAGATGTGAGGTCAGGACCAATAACATAGCGGTAGGAAAGTGACTGAAGCCGAGATGTGAGGTCAGGACCAATAGCATAGCGGTAGGAAAGTGACTGAAGCCGAGATGTGAGGTCAGGACCAATAACATAGCGGTAGGAAAGTGACTGAAGCCGAGATGTGAGGTCAGGACCAATAACATAGCTGTGGGAAAGTGACTGAAGCCGAGATGTGAGGTCAGGACCAATAACATAGCGGTAGGAAAGTGACTGAAGCCGAGATGTGAGGTCAGGACCAATAACATAGCGGTAGGAAAGTGACTGAAGCCGAGATGTGAGGTCAGGACATGGCGGTGGGAAAATGACTGAATTTAAATTCTTTAAAACCTTAACGAGAGTTATATTCTTCGGCGTGTTGTTTCCACTAAAATTAAGATGTTTGTCACTATACTTAAGGAATTTTTAAGGGCAAATAAAAAGTTAAATAAGAAAATTTTATTTATCGTATTTATTATTCTTTAAAAATATGACTAGAATCTGTTCTTAATGTTCTTTAAGATTTAGCGATAATTATATTTCTTCATGGTTTATTTATGCTATTTTTATGGCGTTTGTCCTCATTTTATAACATTTTAAAGGCATTACGTCCGGTTTACGTCAAAGAACAGATTACGTCAAAGCTTATGGGACTAATTAATGATCTAGGGTGGGTACTTCTGTAAATGAAAGAAAGGAGAAAAAAGTTGTAAGTTTTTTCCATAACCTGCTTGAATATAATCTGTCTTTGGAATAGTTTAAAAATTAGCCGGCTGCTATAACCGTTTCCAATTAAAGGTCAAACTGATACTCCGTCACTGTCGAAATAGCCAGATAAAATGAAGTGCCAAAAATTGCAGACAGTGACCTAATAACGTCTAGCTCTGATCTTTAGCTGAAATAGTGGATTCATTCTCTGGTTAGATCCATTCTGACACATTTTCAATATGCTCAGTTTAGTGAAGTCCTCCACCTCATACTTCTAATTACCGTATCTCTTTGTGGACGGGGGTGATCATGGCTCTCCACAATTTCCAGTTCTAAAAAAAGTCTTTCTTTTCGCAATCTCTCTTTAATTCCCTGTTCTTCGAATGAGTTACACAAGCTTGTTAGGTAGGGGGTTATACATTGCTTTCCTCTGTCCATCTCGCCTTTAATATGCCATGTCAGTGTCAAATTCTCGAAGCCCTCTTTCCTCATCATGCGTTCTAGAAATTTCAAAAGTCTCTTTCTGATGCAAAATATAAATGTCCTTTTTATTTCCATTTTATCTAAAGCTTCTTTATTGTTCACTTATTCCGTTCATGGTATTCTCAGCATCCTTCTGTAGAACCACGTTTCTGTTGGATCAAGTTTCTTCTTAATCTATGAGGAGGTTGTCTAGCATTCACTGTCATATAGGAAGACCGATATTGCGTAACACTCTTTCCTTTGTTTCTAACGATATTTTCCTGATTCTTTGCTTAATTTTTGGAAGGCATCTTTCGCTATCAGATTTTGGTGTCGCATTTTCCATCCTCTGGATATTTAAATTTTAGTACTGGCTTCATTTTGGCATCGCCATTTTTTATTCGTTCTTCATTTTGCTGACAACGATATATTCTGTCTTCGTACAATTGGTATTTTGTCCTTTCTTCTCCCTTTCCTTTACTACGAAAGGGTGTACCAATAACACGGACATTTTAAATGTTAAGCCTCTAATGATATTTTTTCTTTTTCTTTCAGATTTGACGAACATTTCGGCGATATTACTTTTCACACATAATTGCCATCACTTAAATAACATGCTCCACTAGAGTAATAGATAAATTTTCATCAATTACACGGATTTATCTACTGCCAACTTTGATCCGTCTTAATGAAACACCCTTTATAAGAGATACTGTAGTCTCCTTTCTGTGTCTGCTATCAACACTGTTATCTGCATATCTTACGTTGTTAAGATTGTGGTCACTAATAATGAATCCTGGTAGCGATTCTAATTCTTTCAGAATCGCCTTACATTAAAATCTGAATAACTTCAATGAGAAGACACATAACATGTTCTATAAATGCATAAATTTGACAAATGCGGGCATCAGTGAAATAGGTGACAACTAACCGAATCTTTGTAGATTCAGTTCCATGTCCCCTAAACAAAACGGCTTTACATTATCTTATCTAGAACACCAGCCCCTGGAAACATGATGGACATGAAATCTTTTAAACACTCTGCCCCAAGATCTGTGTATATCACACTTGTCAAAGACAAACTCCAGTTTTATTAGATGTCCTAACGAACCCCCAAAGAATATATCCCTCGCCATTTACAAAGCAGCCAGAGCTTGCATAACATCTCGCCGGTTGGTTGAAACGATAGTCTCGTGCAGTTTCCTCCACGCACAAATTTGACCATCTGTCTGAAATAGTTGTAAACATGTCTCATCTGGCCAGTCTTCAACGGTCCAATGACGATGTTCGCTGTCCCAGGTGAGGTACAGTAACCGGATGATGTCGTGTCAACAGTGCTGCCCACGACGACTACGAAACCTCATGACATACAATGTACGCTGTCCGGTTCGTTGATTGATGGTTTGGGCGGCACCAGCGTTGAATTTGGATGAGGTTTGATACAATCTTTCCCTTCATTCGGTAATAATCGTCTTAGTGATACAAGTTTCCCTCCCCCCCCTCTCTCTCTCTCTCTTTTTTCTTCTGAATTATAAGTTCAGATCATGTCGTCTTTTATTGTGTGTAGTGTCACCACAAATGTATACACACGTTTCCGGAGTCGGTTTTTAATTTAATTTAGGTCAGCGATTCAGTAGCGAATTGCATTGAAAAATAATTCCTATTTATCTGTATCTCACTCATTTAAACCGTTATTTACCTCCTCTCTTTAAAACTTCTGTCTGTTAAGTTTTAGTCCCCACCTTCACCTTTAGGCCTTCCTGTTCTTCTTTCGTCTGTTACACCCCTCTCTAGAGCTTCCATTTCCTTCTCACACTTGTCTCCCACTCCCATACATACACACTCACTAAAATTTCATTTGTGTGTGTGTGTGTGTGTAGTATAGTGACCACTAATATTCTCTCTCTCTCTCTCTCTATATATATATATATATATATATATATATATATGTGTGTGTGTGTGTGTGTGTGTGTGTGTGTGTGTGTGTGTGTATATATATATATATATATATATATATATATGGCATTGCCTGAGAAGAACCGAGAACAGTTATCACTTCGCTACAATTAACAAACATTCCTTGGTCAAATTCTCTCCGTGTTCTATGGCTACCACAGCTACACTGTCGTAGCTACACTATTACTTTACTTATTATATCACATGCACATCATCCGACTGTTCATATCTATAAGTGATGGACAGCAGTACACAAGAAGTTTACTGCTGTTTTTTTAGTTTTAAATATGGACACACGTTGTGTTCTGGGTTACGGTCATTTCTCGTTGAAACACCATTTTCGCACGATCAGCGATGTTAAGCATCATCGAGCCTGCTCATTTCCTAGTTAGGTGACTTTTTGGGAATATCAGATGCTGTAAGTTTGAATGTGCTAGTGGTATAATGGATAAAGGTTCGTAAGGTGAGATATTCAATTACGCCCTTAGGAAAGGTGAGAGTCCACCTATTCTCCCCTAATTATGGGTTAAATAGTAGAACTTGTATCGGAAAATTTTATTATTAAATAACCCGCAAAAGGGTGATAAACTGTAACAAGAAAACAAATCATTCATACTGTATTTTATATAAACCAAACGGACAAAATATTAGATATAGCATACTTGATGAGTACGGGGATGTATCAATATTGTGATTTTCTTTCTTCTTTTAATGATAATGTTATTAAGCTTATCAGACGATATGAAAAGAATTTACATAAAATAAATATACAAGACTATATATATATATATATCTGTTTGCATTATTGACAATCTTGTTTATAACTGTTTTAAATTCTTTAATGTACGCGAGACCTCGTCTTTAGATGTATTTGTTTTAATCAAAAATAAGATTTTTCTTTTCTCCCTCTCTCTCTCCCCGACTCACTATCTATCTATCTATCTATCTATCTATCTATCCTTTGCTCCTGTTTGTATTTTGTTTACATTATCTGTCAAAAGAGAGCGGTTTGCGTCTTTTGTCTCTTTTACTCTAACCAACGACAAAGACAAAACAACAAATACAAAACTCGGAAAGGTTATTCCCCTCCGAGACAATCGGACGCTCCTTACCAAGTTGCGAGAGACGTCGCGACTTTTTGCCGCCCTTTGAGAAAAACAAACCTGTCAAATGGGCCCTATCGCTTGTCGGCGGAGAGGCGGCCTTTTGTGTAAGAGCGACAGATATTTGTTACCCCAACCTCTTCATATTTGATTTATTTTTTTAATCTTAATTTTTTTCTATTAAATTTTCGTTTCTTTTTTCATTCCTTCTTTTTATTTTAGAAAGTCTTTTAGACATATTCCTTGTTCAAATATCTGTTATTTTATAGGCAGGCTTTTTTTATTATTTGGCTTTCTTTTTTTCTTCCTCGCTTTATTGCGTTTTAATTCTGCCCGTTTATATCTGTTATCTTTGTTTATTTTTCGCTTGTTTCTAAAAGACAGTCCGACAAATGATTTTTCAAATTCAAACACTCAATCATTTTCCTCCACTCATTTCTTTCTACCCTTTCTCCATTCACTCCTTACCTTTTATGTCTTTTTTTCTTTTCTTTCTTTTTTCTTTTCTTTCTTTTTTCTTTTCTTTCTTTTCCATCCTTCTTTATTGTTTGCTTTTTCTTTTTTTATTCTTTTCCTTCGTTTTTTTCGTTACTTTCTCTCCTTTCAAAAAATATTCTTATCATTTTAGTTTATTTTCATATATCTACTTAAATACAAATTGTTTGTATCTTTTTGTGAAGTAGATTGATAGAATAAATCAGCAATTAAATGTTACAATCCCTTTTTTTATAAAACCGCTAAATCTTCCTTTTTTTAAAAAATATTGTCAATATCAGAGTATTGTGGAAAATTCCTTATTATTATTGTCTTGTATCTCCTTCATTGTTGTTTTCTCACAACAGCATAATGTTCAAAATGAAATCTTTTTATCATAGTGCAAACAAAACTCAAGAATACGATTGTATTTACAAGTAAAATCTCGTTCTTTCACATGATAATCAATTAAAATCAACATAATTCAACGGAATCTCAGGAATAAGTGACGTGGGTCAAGGGTTGGCAACTGTAGATGACCGTGTGTTTACATGTTGTTGAATTAGGAACACGTGCTGTTTATTTCCTGCTAAGTCCAACCGAAGATGTAAAGTAAACAAGCAAGGCCGATATATATATATATATATATATATATATATATATATATATATATATATATATATATATATATATATCAACAAATATATATATTGAACAACAAGATTTACAAACAAAAAAGACATCAATTTTTTTTTGTTTTGTGTGAACGTAAAGAGTTTGTAATTTGGTGGATGTTCGTACGTACGTGTATGTATGTTTCATGGCATTTTCCCATAAGTAGATGAAAACGCTGATCTCTACGAGAGATTACATTTTTAAATGTGTTCGCTGAAATGCAAAGTAGAAAAGAGAACGAGGCAAGAAGTTTCCCAGTATTTATAGTGTAGGGAGAACGACCCCTAGTGAACAATTATGGAATTAAGGAGGGACTAACTCCGACACAACCTTTTGCTGACTATGTGCTGAGTTAGGGTTTTAAAATTTATTCAGTGTGCCAACAGCATATGTATTTTTATACAAGTCAAGATCAACATATCTGTCCTATAATATGTTTTATATACTGATATATAGTATATATACTTTAGTAAATATTAAAATTGAAACAGCTAAATATCTTCTTTGTGTTCTAGTATTTATTGGTTTGGACTACGTGATGTTATTTGCGGCTGTGTGCCATTGGAAAATGCTTGGTGTGACACGTGTGGCACGCGTGCCGTAGGTTACCGACCCCTGCCCGACACGATCCATGACTTTGCAATGACATAGGGACCAATAAACTTTACAGTGTCACGCAGTTTCATGAAGTGTTGTAAAGGTATTTGAATTTTGACATCCTTCTGGACTGGAAGGCATCTCTCCCCCACCAAAAATAGTCACATTTATCCTGTTATTTAACCTACAGGTGGGGGTAGACGAAATGGATTCGTTTTTTCCCCCAAAACAAGAATCTATTTACCTGACTATATTTATACGAGTATTATCCGGGTATTTATGAGTATTTTTATTTGATTTCTTTATTTTTTTTCTTAATTTTATCACACACACACACACACACACACACACACACACACACACATATATATATATATATATATATATATATAACGGAATTTCAGGAGTAGGTTCTATACGTCACCTGAGAAATCATTCAAATAAAACTGAAACAAATCTAGAGTCTTGTTAAAATAAGGCGAGGTTGGAATTATAACGTTGCTTGAAAGATGACAGAAATTAATGGAATAAAAAACGAAAATACCGAAGTGGATCAATTTGTTCTGAAATTTTCATTGTATAATGCTTGCTCTTTGTGAGAATTGGCCAAGCGCTGGATTAAGTGCATTGGCAGATTATGGGAAAAATGTTGTAGAAATTAAATTTTAATTCATTATTTACACTCGGTCTATTGTCCTCATATTTTGTTGTATGGGAATAAAGTGTCGTTACCGACACTGTAGTTTGAACCCAAATCACCAGTGAACAAACACTATCAAATAATTAGATCACGTGATCGTAAAGGAAACGTATAAATGGAAATTAGTGTGACGTCTAAGTAATCGCTCTTCTCTTATCGACATACTATTTCTCTATACTGATTATTATACGAATTACTATTTGGTGATTATTATTTGAAGAAGTATTATTAGTGAAAGTATTATTTGAAAGCGTTGCTACTACCAGTATCTGCATTTACAAAGGCTTGGCTACAACCATCATTTCGGAAGTGATAGCGAGCGTTCGTTGACCTATCAAAAGTTACAAAGAGTGAACGTCTAACATCACAAATATTTGTTGTCAGTTTTACGACGTTTCAGCCGTTGCGCTCTCCGATCTTCCTTAAGTTTTTATAGGTCTGGGTAATCTTCAATAAATCTTGAACTGAACCCTTTATTAAATTTATAGACATGAGAATGACTAAATAAGTTTCACTGGTCGCCGGTTGCACTTCACCATGGACAAGAAAGGTTGTGTTATTGGACCTTCTTTTCTTTACGTTGATTAAAGCAATCTGTAATTGTGAACCGTATAGAATCCATGTACTGACTAATATTTATCGGGAAACCCTACGTTCATTTCTCCCAGCGATAAGTCTTGGCCGTGCATTGACATCGATGTTTTGTTGTTTTTTTTCCTCGTCAGACATCTGCCAATAAGTACCCACCATAACTGAACGTAAGTAGCTCCCAGGGCGTGTCGTTCAAAAAATATATTAATCTCGTCTTCTGGCCATATAAATTTGGACTTTGTCAAAGACAACCAAATATTTCTTCTTAGGTCATGAGTCTGGCATTTCATATCAAAATGAAATACACGAGACAATCTTACCTCTGACTATGTCATAAACAGTTGATACGTCACAAAAGCTGCCATTCTTCTTATATATCAGCCGGGTTCCATATTTTTGGTTCAATGTGTGTGTTTGTGTCTCTCTTTGTGCGTCTCCTGTTCAGCCAATACATATATATATATATATATATATATATATATATATATATATATATATATATATAGTATTATGAAAGCAGAAACTTTACAAACCCATGGTAATATTTTATTTCGCAAAACCAATACAACGGTTTCTTCTCATCAGACCAAACGGTTTCAACAATAAATGGATTTAAAAACAATATTTTCCAGGCACAGACAAAAAAAAAAGAAATATTTAAACGAAATATATGCTTTAAAATAAAAATAAAATTTTTGAATCAGGCTGACTCCGTGAGCAAATTAAAAACATGTACGAAAATAATTTTTATAACATGGAAATAAATTTGATAATAAAAATCCAGCGAAAGTCAGCCATGAAATAAAAATAATTGTTTGTATGGAGTTTATTGTTGCCTGTCGCATACGGCAGCAGTATGCTTCACAAAAAGAAATCTCCGTCAACAGAGGACCAGATTGCAATCAAAAGAGCCAAGGCTGCAGCTAGGTAAAGAAAGTCCCGTGCAAATGAGAACTCAGAACAAACGGCAGCCAGGAGAGCTTTCAATGCTGAGAATATGCAAAGATTTAGGGACTCTCAAATTCCTGAACAGTCCGAAGGTCAAATCAAGAGCCCTCCGCTCGATAGAGTGAATTTTAAGCTAGTATATAATATAATAATAACTGGCCACTCGTATCCGAGGACACTCGTCTACTAGGGTGGCTAGCCAATCCCTACTGCAGACGCCTGCTCTGTGGTTTATACTGCAACTATGCTGAGCAGACCTTAGTTATAGTTTCTTGGAATTGCGTGTTCTCTATCGCGATCAACAATGTGAACAAGGCCAGCACACTCAATCCCTCGGTCACGATGACTTATGACATCGTGCTAGCACAGCTATTGACGGTCCCCAATTTCGCCCACAACGTAAACTGCTGATATGGTTTTCATGCACATTCCAAAGGTGCCGCTCTTTGGTATCGACCCTCCAGTCTGATAATATCTGACAAATCGACCATGGTAAGATGATTCGAACTCAGGTCTCATGGTAAGAATGCGAACGTTCTAACCACGCGTCCCATAAGCATATATATATATATATATATATATATATATATATATATATATATATATATATATATATATATATATATAATAAAATAAAAACAGATCACTTTATGGTTCCATGTAATAAGTTATTTCACCACAAAATCTTTTAAAGGCCTCTGGATAATCAGACTTTACTTCCAAAAGTTGAAATGAAAAATGAAAAGAAACTTACACATTTTTGATGGACCGCACCAAGCGTATGTGAAATTAATGAAGTAAGGAAGTGAGGTGGGAGAGAAGAGATGTACCATTTTAATTCCTTATCCTTAATCCCACTCTGTGTAGGCTAGACGTCGCTTAACTTAACGTGTGCTATCTAGATATAGATGGGTAAGGGGTGAGGGAGAAGGCCGACTTGAAGTTGGAAGATACAGTTAAAAGTAAAATAATAAATCAGGATTCACTCAACATCTTAGACGCTGTTATTTCGCATTACTTTAAAGGGTATCTTTGGAGTTTAGAGTTTGATAGAAATCTAAATG